TAAAAAAAATAAGTACGAGTGTTTCCTCAGAAAATACTGTACTGTACTTGTATGTATTGTTTACTTGAGAATACAACAGAGAATAAACTGCCCAAATACCCTTAAACAAAGGAAAAGTACATCCTTTATGAAGGCATAGAGCCTTTACTACATGAAAATGAAAATTAATGAATACACTGTGTACAGTAATTTACCTGATAAGACAGACCTCAGAAAAATACTTCATGAGGCATAAAGCTGTCTTTATCATGAAAATTAATTAACTAAGGATTTTTTTGCCCTGCCAGGGTGTGGCCGAGTTATCCGGAGTGCCGAGTTTTCGAGACTCTACTGTACTATAATAAACAATCCTGATAAATTTGACTTTATTTAAAAAACCATGTAACATAAACAAAAGTGTAAATTACTATTCATATGTCCCCGAATATATGAAAAAGAACACATATATTATGGAATTAAAAAACATACATACACAAATTTTGGATGATCACAATAAATAAATTAAATTAAAAGAATTAGAAACAAAATTTATACAGAATGATTACCCAAAATTTAAACTTACTACATGGAAAGCACAATTTTTAAGGAACAGGTATAATATAAAATATAAACAAGAAAAAACAAATAAAAATTTCCCACATATAAAAGCATGTTTGAATATTGTAGTAATAGCCTTAAAAAAGATAAAATCTGTTTGGCCAATAAGATTTCACATAATATTTATAGATATATTAATAAGAGGAACAACAATAAAATAGATTTCCTTAAAAATGCTGGTGTAGTGTATAAATTACAATGTAATTGCCAGAACCCATATATGTATATAGATGAAACAGGATGTATTTTGGAAGTTAGGCTGCGTACACACTAGGTGTTTTTAAACGTGCGTTTGATGAACCAAGAGTTCTTCATAGGCGTACACACTCAAACGTACGCTTTTGGCCAAGCGCACGTTTGTAGATTTTTCTTAAAACACGTGTTTTGCGGGCGTCAGCCGAGCGCTTTGAGATATATGTGCTGCCATGTCACTGTACATTCGATCGCGCGTTTTCGGGTAGAGTGGACGTACGTTGGCCGAAATGGAGAACGATCATTTTGATACTGATCTATTTAATGATGAAATCTAAAAGAGACCAACCATTGTCAAAGGATTTTATAGATATTCTAAAAGAATTAAAAAACTTGGGTTTATTTTGTCTTAGTTTTGGATACAATGTCGCAAACATTCCATGTGTCAGTCTATCTCGTAATATTGGGTGCATCCAAAATTCTCCTTGCCTCTGCCATTGTCTTTTATAGCGACGATGGAGGAGGGGCACGCAAAAAATTACTTTCACGTCCATTTCCAAACTGAGCCAGTGCGTATGCTCCACTAAACGCTCGTCTAACGCCTGGTGTGTACGCTGCTAACGCACGTTTAACGCAATGCAACGCAAAATGCCTAGTGTGTACACAGCCTTAGGGTAAAAGAACATGAAGCAGCTATTCAATTAAAATACAAGAATTTCCCATGGTATAACAATACAATAAATAATAACTTTAAAATTAATTGCAATAATATAAAAATTTTACATTATGAAAAAGACATTTATAAAAGAAAATTTAAAGAACATTTAGAAATAAAAAAACAGCAAAAAAATAATATAATAATTCTGAAGGTATGCAAATTGACTACCAGTGGTATAAGTTGGTAGTTGGTAGAGTGTGCTATATATTGAATTAAATAGTGTGTTTAGTTAAACATGGTTTGGTGTTTAACCTGTTTTTTGTAATTGTGCACCCTATTTTCTGTATTCTTTAATTGTGAGTGTTTTAATTATATTATGTATTTTTTATTACTTTCTACAAGATTGTCAGTTAATTTTAATTTCTTATCAAAATTGTAAACTTGTTTTATTAAACACATATAGCTCTTGGAACATATGTATCAATAATAAACCTACTTATAGTCTTCTAAGTGTTTTTAAAAATTTTATTAGTTTTTTTCATTATATATTAATACAGTGGAACCCCGGTTAACGAACTTAATCCATTCCGCGACTCCACTCGTTAACTGAATTGTTCGTTAACTGAAGCAATTTTTCCCATAGAAATTAATGCAAATGCAATTAATCCGTTCTAATCTCCGAAATTTTTGTGATTTTATTTGTATATACAGCAGATTTTCTTTGATGAAAATGTAGGAAAACACAGTATCTATCATTACAGCAACAAACATGTAAACTTTGTTTAATAAAATAGCACTGTACATACCTTTGTTTGTTGTAGTTGGTGGCAGAAAAGTGGAGATATACGAACCTTAATGCTTAGAAGGGGAATCCCCTCCAAAAAAATAACGGGTAGCACTTCATCGGAAAATTCTTTGAGTCAAAGTCCCTTTCAGTAAGAAAGCCCATCAGTGGCTAAGCGGTCTTCGTACCCTGAACACAGGGAGTTTGTTTGTGAGCTCGCACCTCGCTCAGACGGGCTGGCCACGTGGAGTTTTCCAGGTTTTCTCCACATCTGTAATGCCTAAATAGGGGCCAGTTTCCCTTAAAAACATCTCCCAGAAGGCATTCCCCTAGGCAGATCGCCCAAGTGTTGCGTTGCCATAACTTAACAAAACAAACAAACTTTTTCTGTAAGGAATAAGAAATTGATCTAAAGTTGATTGTCTTACTCTTTTAATGAAAATTTTTCTCAAATGCGATAGCGCATTGTCGTTCATATTGCGTTGTCATTTTCTATTGCCCCTATGACTTTTTTCTTTCTTGGATGCCATATTGATTAAATACATAAATCACAAAACTGAAAAAATAAGTATAGCACAAACACTCGGAAAAGCAATGCTTAACTGCGCATGCCTAACACCAACTAAAATTTGACACAAAATACCGTTACGGTCGTTATCCGAGACAAAATTTTTGCAAAATAAAAGTTTGTTAACCAATTTGGTCGTTAACCAGGACGTTCGTTAACCAGGGTTCCACTGTACTTCTTTGTAATATTTAGTTGTAAGTCAGATTTAAGGAGATGTGTTTTCTCCTTTTTTTGTGATTTATATACTTGAAAATTGTAAGTGATTGTTTTAAAATTTGGGTAGTACCTATGTTGTCATGTTCTAATTTTTTAATTTTTGTTAATTTTCAAAAACAGCACTGAGGAGGGGTTGGAACATATTATACCAACCCAAAATGCATATGTAGCTTAATTTGAAAATAAAATCATGATTCTAACTGAAAATTGCTGATAGACCGTCTACCATAATTTGTGGATTACGGAGATGTTTTACATTGAAATGGTAATAATAATTTATCATCATATGTATAAAAGTGCAAACTAAATGTTAATAATGTAAATAAAATTGATTTAATGTTTAAGTTTACATTGATATAAAAGGTAATTTTTGAAATTTTTAATTATAAGAAATTTCTATTTGTCTTAAGTTTTAATAATGGTGGCACTTCTGGTTTTGAGAATGTTGAATCAAAAGACAACAAAAGGTTAAAACTAATGTTTGCCAATTAAAAAGACACAATAACAATATTCACTTAAAAAAGTCAGTTATTTTAGATTGTAGGTATTTTTCACCTAAAAATGTCGGAATAGGATAGTGTAAGAACAAGATTCCCATTGTTTTTTTAAACTAGTAACGGCCAAGAAAGACCGTTGGATTTCGAATGCGTGGCCGCTGATTGGTCGTCAGATCATCACACCACCAGCGGACTCCGATAGAGCAGCTAATCACTCATTGGTCGAGGATCACACCACACTGCATATTTGCATACTGCATATTTGCATAAATGAGTAGTCCCGAGTCTTCATCCTCTTTATGAAAATGAAAATACCTGCATATTTGCATAAAGTTAAGGCCAAGTAATTGCCGATTGTTCATCCATCCCGCTGTCGATGGCTATAAAAAAGGTTAATGTCAAAGCGGGAGATTTAAGTTCACTTCAGCACAGGAACTTTGAGATATACATCAGTTTCATCAAAGTTCAAGTCGAGAGTAGATTCATCTTGCTGTCTGTTCTTCAACTGCCAGAAGAAGTTTACTTCTAGCCAACAACTCGTTGATTTGTCACAAGGTGTCTTCTTGACGGACCTGATCAGCATATTGAACTAACCGAACTTTATTAATGTTATTGGCGTACTGAGTTGGTCGCCAATTGTGTGAAACAATGAAACATTTTAAACTTCACTAATGTCATTTTCTAAATCATACACTTTATTCATTATTTTTGATGAAGTTTTCCAAGACCTATAAAACATTTTCAGTAATCTTATTGTATTACGCGTTTTCCTAGTTGACAGCACTTCATTTTCTCTGTCTGATGTTTTATCTTCACCATCATCATTTTTTTAGTCTGAAGATTTAATTTGCTCAACAATATCTGCATCTGTATAAAATAACACGAGTAACTATGCAGACTAACACGTTTAAAGATATGATGAACCTCACCTCACCTAAGTCAGGTGGTGAGTTTTCCACCACAGTCATTGTAGGAAGTGGACTCTGATCCTAGAAACTGAATATGTAGTACATGTACTGTATTTTCTTTGTTAAATAAAATTCGTAATCTAATTTTGTAAATCTAGGAATGCTTTAAATATGATGTTAAAACAGGGTTTTATGTCATTACAAGTTGGTTTTTTAACATTATCTAGTATAGTAAAATCACGTGACCAATTAAAAATTTGACATTACATCCGATGATGTTATAATTGGGTTAAACTGTATTAATATTATTAATAAAGGACCCTGCAGAAACCTGGTACGAATGTGTCCTGGTAGATTTGACTGAATCTTTGATATTTTGTAGTTATAATGAAAATGCCAAAGGCAGGAAATCAAAAGAAGGTTTTTGAGTTATCAATCATCTAAGATGCAAAAACTGCATAATTCATGCACATGTTGTGAGGCCATAAATCTTTTTTGTTTCAAAATATAAAATCAACCATTATTAAGTCTCAGAGGAATGTCTTGAGAGAAGGACACCCAAGCTTCACTTACAGGAGCATTTTGAATCCATTAGTGGGATCTGAATCAAAACAGTGTGAGAATCAAACCCACTTGTATTACATGATGAATGATTTTCCCACAAGGAAATCCACATAGTGCTGAACATCAATAACTTTTGAAAACGTTTTATACTTTGATAAAAAAAAAAAAAAAAAAAAATTTAAGGCCTCAGCATATGCAAAAATTATTCCGTTTTTGTATCTTGGATGCTTGATAACTCAAAAGTTGCCCATTTTTTGATTTTGTGCCTATAAAGACTTTTGATTGCGACCACTAGAACTACAAAATATTAAAATTTCAGTCAAATCTACAGTACTCATTTTTCAGGTTTGTGTCAGTCCTTTTGTTCCTTATTTTCTTTTTACATGATAATTTGTTTCATCATCTTTAATATAACTTTCATAATTTAATTAGATTTGCATCAGCCTACAGAGATGGTTCTCAATATTTTGTCCTCTTGATTATCACTGATGGAATAATATCCGACATGTCGCTTACCAAAGAAGCAATCGTGCATGCGGCAACACTTCCCATGTCAATAATAATTGTGGGAGTTGGCAATGCAGATTTTTCTGGTGAGTTTTGTTTATAATAATTTAGGATTCAATAAAATATAAATACGTATTTTATTATTTTTGATTCGTTCTTAGCCATGGAAGAACTTGATGGAGATGTCGTCAGGCTCAGTAGTAGGGGCAAATTTGCTGAAAGAGATATCGTACAGGTAAGTTATTAAGTCAATAATTTATATTAAAATTAGTGTTGTAACGAATAGTATATTCGGTCTCAGGCCGAATATTTGGCCAGGAGCGTGGCTGAATAGCCGAATATTCAGCCGAACTATTCGGCTTGATTAACGCACGTACGAAAATTGGCGCACAAACCACATTATGGCAAGGACCCTGCTCTCTATTGGCCCACTGTCACTATGCTTCGCCAATTGCATTAATTCTTGACAGTTCAGACAAGAGCGTCACGGCAGTATGTGATAAGTGATGATATCAAATGTGGATAACAATGAAATGACCTACACGTGTAAATAACGGAAGAACAGAATAGGACTGCAAAGTGAAAATGTGAAAATAAATATGAAATTGAGTTGATAACATAATCAAACAAGTCAATTATGTTATCAACTCAATAAGCTGCCTCGAACAAGTCGAGGCAGCTTATTGGCGCGAAATTCACAGCCGTGAATGCCAAACAATTGTTGTCATAGACTTCGGAAAGATAAATGCTTGTAATGAAAGTCACTTAGCGTGCACGGGCGAAAGCCTGGGGTCGTTTGGGCTACCAAGCCGTTTCGAATCTGTGAAATCATAACTGTGACTTATACCGATGTCCTGTCTCTTTTGTCCGGGTGAGCGATTCGATAAGTCAGATGGATAGGATGCTGTCAATTGAGCTCTGGTTTTATATTGTGATTTTTGCGTTATTAAGTGTTTACTTTTAATGTGTTTGATATTTTTGTGAACCGGAAGGTTGAAGGACTATTTTTACGTCAAGTAGGACCTTTTAAATATAAAACTTTTTAAATTACGGCCGAAAAACCACTTTATTCGGTTATCCGGAAATTGCATTTTCGATTAACCGGTTTTCGTTACCGCATATAATATGTCTTCCCATGTTGTCTTCGGACACAAAATTTGGGGGTCATCGGTTCATTATTAACAGAATTATCGGCTCTACTTCCGGTCGGCCTTGGAACTCCATTTTTGAGCTTCCGGTTGAGTGTACTGTTAAAACCTTCGGAAAAGTNTATAAAAATATCACTTCTTCTAAGTGTAGACTCGGGACTTAGTCTATCGGACTCCGTTATGGGCGTTGGCCATCAGGAGGAAACGTATGTGGAGTCTGGACACTTTCAAATCGGTCGGAGAACTCCTCGAATTCTGACTAATTTCTCCTTTTATCTCAAAATTTCGTCCAATCATCGTTCAGTAACTCTTTCGTGAGAACGGATGAAAGGGGGATGAATGAGGGGTAACCATTTCCCATCTGAGCGAGATTTTCAACGGATAAGGGAAAAACAGAGGATGAACGGACTTCCTTTAACGGAAGTAGCATCTGTAATCTATCCTTTCCCACGACTAAAACACCACTTTTTCACCAAAACAAAGTATTATTTTGTGTGAATATTTAAACATATTTAATAAAAATTAATAAATGAGGCCTAGGGCCCTCAGGTTTTCACATTATTCTCTTAAGTTAGTTTTTTAAAAATGAAGGTCTTATTTATCATTTAGCCTTTGTAAATAAATTAATACTATGTAAAATACTGAAATGTTTGCAAACTGAAAAAAGATTTATTTCAAACTTTTCAGAACCCAGATTAATTTTACCGTTGCCATTGATTTTACTGCTTCTAACGGCGATCCATCAGAACCACAATCTCTTCACTACCTGTATTCTCCGTATCCCAATGTGTATACTCTGGCGATAAAATCAGTAGGCGAAATCATTCAAGATTACGACAGTGACAAGTTATTTCCAGCATTGGGTTTTGGTGCACGTTTACCACCAGACGGAGTAGTTTCGCACGAATTTCCTTTGGTAATACATTAATGGTTCAAATGTTATATTTTATTATTCTGTTTTAAAGTGTTTCATGCTAACTATAGTTATTATTTTCAGAATGGAAATATGAGTAATCCTTTTTGTGTAGGCATTGATGGTGTTTTAGAAGCTTATAAACAGAAAATTGGCACAGTGCAATTGTATGGTCCTACTAATTTCTCACCTGTCATTAATCATGTTTCCAGGTAATTTTGTCTCCTTTTAGGTTAATTTCCATCATAAATGCCAACAACATTATTGAATTTTTTTTTTGCAAGTAGAAGTTATTTTGAATACAAACTGGTAGAGATGTCCAACAACTTTACTTGATTCCGTTTTTTCAGATAATTCTGGATTTAGGTTCTTGCTTATGTCAATTGTATTATGGATCAGAAATGTCAGGATTTTTATGAAGTTTTCTGACATTTACACTAAACATCTTAAAATTCCAATAAACCTTGCATTGCACTAGAATAATAAATGGAAGAGAAGTCGGAGTTAGAATGTGGTGAGAAGAGAGGTGTGAAAATGTTCTTGGGGCACAGAATTTTTTCCAGTTTCAATAAAAATAGATATATTTGTTTTATTGTTTTAGATTTTATTGTCTGTTATATTCCTACTAACATTGAAACATTTTGTTCATGTTAATTAGGAGTATAAATATTAAGTGATTCTAAAGGATGGCATGACAAAGTTTACATACTCCAAGTTAGAGAAGATAGATTATTTTTATTTTGGACATATAAGAAGATTTAATTTCTGAAAATTATTGTACATTTACTTGTACATAACAATCATTAACATATAAATAATATATAAAGAATAACATATAAATACAATTATACAGTTTAACTTGATTATAACGTCATCATGGGACTGGCAAATTTTTGACGTTATAACCAAGTGTCGTTAGTATAATCTGCGGGGTCATAATTCAGTCCCATAAAAAGTACCAAGTCTGTTTAAGAATCTATTATAAAATCCATTCTAATTTATCATCATATGTAACATCATATATTGCCATAAAATTATTTCTTAATGGTAATACAGTATACTGTATCTATTATGGTAATAATAATATAATTTGGACTTCTGTATGTTAGATTTCAATGTAAAATGTCTCTGTAATCCACAAATTATGGTAGACAGTCTCTCGGCAATTTTCAGTTAGAATCAGGATTTTATTTTCAAATTGAGCTACATATGCATTTCGGGTTAGTATAATATGTTCCAACCCCTCCTCAGTGCTGTTTTTGAAAAGTAACAAAAATTAAAAAATTAGAACATGACAACATAGGTACTACCCAAATTAAAACAATCACTTACAATTTTCAAGTATATAAATCACAAAAAAAAAGGAGAAAATACATCTTACTTAAATCTGACTTACATCTAAATATTACAAAGACGTATTAATATATAATGAAAAAAACTGTAATAAAATTTTTTAAAAACACTTAGAAGACTATAAGTAGGTTTATTATTGATACATATGTTCCAAGAGCTATATGTGTTTAATAAAACAAGTTTACAATTTTGATAAGAAATTAAAATTAACTGACAATCTTGTAGAAAGTAATAAAAAATACATAATATAATTAAAACACTCACAATTAAAGAATACAGAAAATAGGGTGCACAATTGCAAAAAAACAGGTTAAATACCAAACAAGAAAATTGTCCGTAATTTTATAAATAATATAAATAAGAATATCCATGTGAGGGGCTAGCCGTGGATACGGAATGGTAAGACTCTAGTATCACTTACTTGGCAACTATTCTCTAGAATAGCCCTCTGTCTTACAAGGATGGTTTTTCTATTCAAAGAAATCAAGTGTGGAGGGCTTTAACTAATATGTTAAATTAAAAGCGGAATTTGATGATTGCGTAATCACCTTTTCCTTACATCAGGAGTCCCGACACCAGTTAATCAATTATTTTATACACGGATTAACATGCGTTATCCCTAAACTCTTGAATATCTAACATTAATATTGAAGAAGCCATATTTATATAACAAATCAAAATATTTAATGGATCAAAAATATAAAATTATACGAAAGAATGAATCTAAACCTAAGATTATCTCTAAACCTAATGCGTGAAAGAGTTCACAACAATATCTCTGGTCATATTACCTTCTTCTTTAGGTCTTTCATATCTTTTTCTATATCTATTTGAGGGTCTTCTTCCTTCCTTGATTATTTCTCTTCTAATATTTTCTTTGGGAAGTCCTTTTAAGTCTTCTCTTGTATACTTCTTGTATATTTCGAATGTAGTTCTATGTTTTATGACTNCTTTAGGTCTTTCATATCTTTTTCTATATCTATTTGAGGGTCTTCTTCCTTCCTTGATTATTTCTCTTCTAATATTTTCTTTGGGAAGTCCTTTTAAGTCTTCTCTTGTATACTTCTTGTATATTTCGAATGTAGTACTATGTTTTATGACTTCCTTTCGGATTCTTATAACAGCCTTGTATGACAATATCTTATCTCGCATGTTGGACTTCTTGCATGTGGCAATCTTTTTCCAACGGACTGCCTTTCGTATATTGGATTTCCCTGTATGGCAATACCTTGTTCCAATGGACTGCCTCAATGGGCAGGAAATCGTCCCTTTTATTTTCTCTTCAGTAACGTGTGCAAAAGCTCAACTCATCATGAGTTGGCCTGGGAAAGGAAATCAACTTCCTTTCAAAATCGGATGTTTTTCAGTTTTTAGAAACTTGTTAAAGTTGAAAAACACTAATTTCTCTATTTTTCTCTTCTTCTTCTCAACTTTGAGAATTTTCAGAATGGCCCTCTCTGAATTCTCACATCCAGTATGATATTGAAGTTGAAGAAAATAAACAAATTAATTACGTAGATATTACAGTAGAGCCTCGAAAACTCGGCCTAATGTGGACCGAAGGGTGGCCGAGTTTGTGAAAATGCCTGGTTATCGGAAATGGGGTTAAAAAAAATAAGTATGAGTGTTTCCTCAGAAAATACTGTACTGTACTTGTATGTATTGTTTACTTGAGAATACAACAGAGAATAAACTGCCCAAATACCCTTAAACAAAGGAAAAGTACATCCTTTATGAAGGCATAGAGCCTTTACTACATGAAAATGAAAATTAATGAATACACTGTGTACAGTAATTTAC